CCCGCCCAGGTGTTCGATGACAGGTCAGCACCTAGATATCTGTTACATGTCACGTAGTGACAGGTCAGCACCTTGCGTGACGTCAAGGTCGCGTACTCCCCCTCCTCCCCGCGGTCCCCTCGCCCCGGAGTACCCCCCTCCCTGCTGACCCCTCGCCACGGGGTACCCCCCGCCCCGCTCCCCACTCGGAGCCCCATGGGTTAGAACCGGCCTATATACCCTACTAACGAGGTATAAATAAAAAAAAGCCTTTACGTCTCGTGCACCACGCGACCGCGCATCATGGAACGCAAGAAGGCTCCGTACAAAATCGTCGATTATTCCCTGGCGTTTAATATCACACAATCGGTCATTTCGAGGTTCTCTCTCGTAATAAAATAATAATTGTGCACAATTATATTCTGATAAATACACAGTACGAGATATTTAACACTACAAAAGAAGTGATATCACCTAAAAAACTTTTAAAGTGCCCGCCGGCTGGGCGCCCGCGGACGCCCGTTGCCCGCGGTTTAGACAATTTAATACAAATAAGTATTTTATTTTAAATTACAAAAACTTGGCGCTGCTCAACCGAATTTTAATTGCCCCCTCTCTCCTTCCATTACTCCTTCGCCCCACTCCTTTACAAGTATGAATCCAAGTGCGTGTGTGTGTACGTGCGTTCGTGCGCGCGCGCGCGTGTGTGTGCGTGTGCGTGTTCGTGTGCGTGTGTGTGTGTGTGGTGTGCCTACAAATTTGCAATTCTATACAGTTCTGTATAACTTTATAGATTTAGACATTGTTTTATATGAAACAAATTGTAATGTAAAAATTTCTTATTTATAATTGTGTACAATTGTATAAAGTCAGATAATTATATAAAAATTGTTCATATAAAAACATGTATAAATTTATAAAATTATATAGAACTGTGTAGAATTATGCAGATAGTCAGTATGCTCAAGCAATGTACGGAAATAAAATATTCTAGTAATAGATGAGCTAGCTTTTTCCTAGCTCTTTGCTAGGAATATGAATTTCATGTTTGAGTTATTCAAGTACAGTTATGGTCAGAAAGCTACTCCGACATTTTATGATAAATTCCGAGAATACAGTTTATCATGCGATTTCAGACTCTTCAGACTCGAAGAGCCGATAGCCAGCAACAAGCCGCAACGAGTCGCAAACCCAGTGAGTAATGATGTCGAATCGACGTCAATTCGACGGTGTCGATGTCGATTCGACGTCGTTTCGACGTCGATCGACGAATCATTTCTCACTGGGAAAGAGCAAAATTTTGAGACTAAAAATTATAACACGACCGAATAACTTACCCACGTTTTTGTATTTAACGGTAACCGGGCCTCGTGTGCACCACTCGACGTCCCAAACGAAACTTTTGATAGGTGCGCAATGGGGATTGAAAGCGGGATAGGTACCCACAAGCACCCACTACGGATGACGAGGACTGATAATGCGAAAATCCCGGCACGAGCCGCGCGGACCACACAGACACACACGTGATCGGTTAGGATCTCAAGCGACCAATGCGATGCTTAGTAGCCGCAGCGCGCGCAGACGCTGGCAAGATGGCGGACATGAAACACTCGAGTATGAAGGTTTACACTCAATTTGATGGTTATTTCGGACCGTCAACGTACGATTGAGTGTATTTTTTCATAAGGGTAGATTAATAGAATTCCGCGTATTTCAAATAATAATATATCAATGTACGTAACACATTATTTAAGTATTAATGTATAATTCATTTATTTAGATATCTTTAATATGTCTATTGTTGGGAAAGGGAGTGACAGAGAGAGAGCAAAATAAGGCGCAGGGAGAATCAGGCGCAAGCCGGCTGCCTCGCGATTCACAATTCGCGCGGCGACTCGCATCACGCAGCCGGGCGCCGGCCTCCTATCAGCGCTCTCTCCCTGCCCAGCGACCGGGAGAGAGCCCGGCGCGCTCAGAGCCGCGCTCCTTCGAACGCTCGCGAGCAACCGCCTCGCGAGCAAATAATAACGAAAATAAATAGCCCTTGTCCCGCGGTTTCGGGAAGGTTCTCGCCAAAACACCAACGAATATGCAAATCCGTTATTCACGCGTTGGAACTTTCTCGAAGCATGGCCGGGACAAGGGCAAACCGGCCGAGTCCGCTCTCGGATGACTCACTCGTCTCGAAGTCGCGCTCGCGTTAGGACCGAGGATTCAACGCGCTAGAGTATTCACTTATCACTCATCACTGTATCGAGATTGCTCTTCCAGCAATCCACAAAAGTCATTGGTGCTCAATAAAGAGATCTTTTGCTCCAACACGCGTTTTGGTGCTTCGCTACACCCGGTCCGTTCCCTCATCGCAAGGGTCGCGTCCGCGCTCGCGCACCGCACAGCCGCGCGAGACCTCAAGATTCCGCACATCTTTCTGGTCCTTCGAGCCGGATTCTTATCACTCGCCGCGTCTTCTCTTGCGGTGCCGCGCTCGTGATCGCCGCGTGCCAGTGAAGTGCTACAGCCACCTGAAAACAGAATGGGCAAGGATCTAGATTCCGCTGTGGAGGACGCCAATGCCCTTCACGGGAAGATCTCGAGGGCGTACGAGAACCTGATGAAGCTCGGCGCCGAAAAGATCACCCTGGGTGCAGTCGAGGTTCGACTCAAGGCCCTAGAAAAGAACTGGAGCAAGTTTAAGGCCCTCAATACCCTGATTGCCGGGCATGCGGCAGAATTGGAGGGCGATCCATACCTGACAGAGGACACCCCTGCACTCGCCGAGGAGGCTTTCCTGACCAACAAGGGGCAACTGCGGGACAAGCAGCGGGAGCTCACGGCAAAGCTCCCCGCTGCCGCAGGAGCCTCATCACAGGAACCGCAGTTCTCGAACCATAACTTGCCTAAACTCCAGTTACCGCACTTTTCAGGCAAGTTCGAGGACTGGCCAGCGTGGCGGGACTTGTTTCAGTCGATGATTCTCGACAAGGCGTCTCTGACGAAGGTGCAAAAAATGCAGTACCTTAAAACGTGCGTCAAGGGCGACGCCGAGCCGCTAATACAGGACTTACCCGCTACGGCCGACAACCTTGAGGGAGCGTGGGACACGCTGACGTCGCACTTCGAAAACAAGCGGCTCCTAGTTCGCGCTTACCTGTCCGCGTTCACGGCTCTTCCACGCATGAAGACACCGTCGGCGACCGACCTTAGGCGCATTTTTCACGGCGTGCTCTCCACCGTCGGTCGTCTCGAGGGCATCGGCCGCCCAATCACTGCGTCCTCGGACCTTTTCGTGCACATGGTGGTCGAACTACTCGACCCCAGGACGCGGCGCGACTGGAAAAAGGCCTTAGGGCGAGCTTCCGACCCTCCTTCCTACGAGCGCCTCAAAAGCTTCCTGCAGGAGCAAATGATGACGCTGGACGCCCTGCGAGCGGTCTCCGGGGAACCCGCCGGGAAGCAGTCGGAGAAGGCGAGCCGTTCCGCGCGCAGCAGTCACGTGGGAGGCAAGGGGCCGGATCCACATCGCAGCTGTCCCCTGTGTAAGAAGGAGCACTTCTTAGCCTATTGCGACCTGTACAAGAAGAAGACGGCACAGGAAAGACGAGAGATCGTGAGTACTCACCAGCGGTGCTGGAACTGCCTCGGACGTCATGTCCTGGCAGAGTGTCCGTCCTCGAAGACATGTGGCAAGTGCTCTGCTAAGCACCACACGACCTTGCACGACGCGCTTGCCGCTGCCGCCTTACCACTCGCCGCGCCGAGTCCGGCCGCTGCGGTGCACGTAGCCAAGCGCCCACCTACGGGGTGCGGGTCCGTGTTGCTCGCCACAGCCCGCGTCATGGTGAGGGATCGGTTCGGCACTCGCCTGGCAGTGCGCGCGCTGATCGACCCGAGATCGGAGACGTCGCTAGTCGCCGAGTCGCTCGCGCAGCGACTTCGCCTTCCGCGGACGCCGTCGTCGGTGGCCATCTACGGAGTCGGTGGAATTCAGACCGGCCATTCCCGTGGACGCGTCGTCGTGTCGGTGCACTCACAATCCGGGGACTTCTCGGTGATGGTGTCGCCACTGGTGCTGCCGCGACTGACGGTCTACAGCGGCGCATCGGGCGCAGAGGCTCGCGCGTGGCCTCACGTGACCGGTCTCGAGCTCGCTGACCCGGAGTTCATCCGGCAGTATCCGGTGGAACTGCTGCTCGGAGCGGAGGCGTACCCCAGCATCGTCCTGCCGGAGCTCCGCAGGGGCGGCGCGTCGGAGCCGATCGCGCAGCGGACCCGTCTCGGCTGGGTGCTGCTGGGAGCCGTGGGCACGTGCCACGCCGTGAATCCGGTCACCTCGATGCAGTGCACCACCGTCGCCGAGCTTGGCGACTTGGTGCGTCGGTTCTGGGAGGCTGAAGAGCCCCCCCGCGCTCCGCTGCCACTGACCGACGACGAGGCTGAATGCGAGGAACACTTCGCACGCACGCACGAGAGACTTCCCGACGGCCGGTACCAGGTGCGCCTGCCGACTCGTCCGGGGCTGCCGAATCTAGCCCCAACGCACCGCGCCGCCGCCCGTCTGCTGGAGGTCATGACGTGGCGATTCGCTCGTGACCGTCCCTTTGGCGAGCGCTACCGCGCCTTCATGAGCGACTACCTCGCGCTCGGACACATGTCGCCGGTCACCGCAGCACCGTCGATTCCGGGGGCCGCCGTCTGCTACCTGCCGCATCACGGGGTGATGAAGGGCTTCGAATCTGAGGCCAAGATCCGGGTGGTCTTCAACGGCTCCTCTCGCACGATGGGCGGCTCCTCGCTCAACGCCTCTCTCCACGTCGGACCGAACCTGCTGCCCGCACTAGCAGACGTCCTCACACGCTGGCGTCGCCACCGGTATGTCTTCGTCGCCGACGTGGAAAAAATGTACCGGCAAATCATGGTGCACCCGGCCGATCGTGACCTCCAGCGGATCCTGTGGGGAGAGCAACCGTCACTAGAATATCGTCTCAACACCGTAACCTACGGGCTGGCGTGTGCGCCGTACTTGGCCATTCGCGTATTCCGCCAACTCGCAAACGACGAGGAAGCCAACCTCCCGATGGCCGCGGTCGCAATGAAACGAGACATCTACGTGGACGACGTACTCACCGAAGCTGACCAGCTGGAGTCTGGCCGTGAATTGGCGCGGCAGGTCTCAGCGCTCTTCATGGCGGGCGGCTTCCCGCTGCGGAAGTGGGCCGCGAACCATGAGGCTCTGCTGGAGGACGTGCCGCCCGAGCACCACCTGCGACCCGCCGCCGCCGCTCAGCTACCTTCCATCGACCCCTCTGTCCTGGGCCTTCGGTGGAACCCGACGGACGACGACCTCGCCATCGTTGTCCAGCGAACACGGCATTCTCCGCCTACGAAGAGATCGGTGCTGTCGCAGACTGCTCGACTCTTTGACCCGCTGGGATGGCTGGCCCCCATCGTTATACGGGCAAAACTCCTCGTCCAGACGGCGTGGCTTCAGCGTCTGGATTGGGACGCTCCGTTGGACGCGAGGGAGGCCTCGGCATGGATCGTCCTCGAGGAGGAGTTGGAGCTACTGGAGGGCCTCAGGATACCGCGCTGGTTCGGCAGCGCCGCCACCAGCCCCCTGGAACTCCACGGGTTCTCTGACGCCTCCGAGCTCGCCTACGCCGCCGTGGTGTACCTGCGGGCCTGCAGCCACGCTTCAATCACCGTGTCCCTGGTGGCCGCCCGAACGAGGGTGGCGCCGTTGAAGCGAGTCCCACTGCCCCGTCTGGAGCTCTGCGCAGCCGCGTTACTGGCGAAATTGGCCGAGCATGTTCGAGTCAACCTCAACGTGCCAGGATCAGCGGTCCACCTCTAGACCGACTCCACGGTCACTCTGGGTTGGGTGCGCGGCCATCCTGCAAAGTGGAACACTTACATTGCCAACCGAGTCAGCGAGATTCAGCGTTCCAATCCTGAGGCAACTTGGCGGCACGTACCTGGTCGAGAAAACCCAGCCGACTGCGCCTCACGAGGAGTGTCTCCGAGGGAACTTCTGGAGCATCCGCTGTGGTGGCGAGGCCCGCATTACCTCCGGGAGGTGCCAGCTGCCTGGCCCGTGGGTCATGAGTCCATCGACGAGGAGAGTCTGCCGGAGCACCGACCGCCTCGCTGCTTCGCTGCCGTTCGGGGCGAGGAACCTGACGAGCTCCTGCGCTTCTCCAACCTCAGACGCCTGCTGCGCGTCTCAGCTTGGCTCTGGCGCTGATGGGCCCGTCGCCAGCTCGCCGGAAGCGGGCTGGCTCTCCTGAACCCTGAGGAGTTGGCGGCGGCGTCAGTCCGGTGGATCCGACTGGTCCAGGGACTGCACTTCCACACGGAGCTGAGGGACATCAACGCGGGGAGAGCGCTGTCAGGTCGCAGTCCGCTCCGCAAGCTGGCCCCGATGATGGACGGCGAGGGCATCCTACGGATTGGAGGGCGCATAAAGCATTCGCTCCTCGACACTGACCAACGGCACCCCGATCATCCTCCCGCCGGACTCCCACTGGACTTACCTGGTGATCGAGGCCAGCCACCGACGGACGCTGCATGGGGGAGTGCAGGCCACCTTGACGAGCATCAGGCAGCGCTTCTGGATCCCGCGAGCCCGTCAGCTGGTGCGCCGGCACATCCACCGATGCCCTCCTTGCATTCGATGGCGGGCGGCTACACCACAGCCAGCGATGGGAGACCTGCCGAAGGAGCGCGTCGTCCCGAGCCGGCCATTCCAGCACACAGGCGTCGATCTCGCGGGTCCTGTCTGGCTCCGGACCACCAGAGGCCGTGGCCACAAGGACTACAAGGGCTTCCTGGTGGTATTCATATGTTTCAGCTCCCGCGCCGTGCATTTGGAGGTCGCCAGCGACTATTCGGCCGAGGCCTTCCTGGTGGCATTCCGCAGGTTCGTGTCGCGGCGGGGACTGTGCTCGGCGGTGTACAGCAACCGCGGCACCAACTTCATTGGCGCCGACCGGCAACTACGGGAGCTCTTCCGGGCCGCGAGTCATGAGGTCCACACCATCATCGGACGCCTCGCCGACGATGGGACCAGGTGAAGCTTCAACCCACCTCCGCTCCTCACTTCGGCGGCCTCTGGGAGGCGGCGGTGAAGTCGGTGAAGCACCACCTGCGCCGGACGCTCGGCGAATCGAGGCTCACCTTTGAGGAACTCACTACGTTCCTGGCGGAAGTCGAAGCGTGCCTCAACTCGAGGCCACTCCAGGCCCTGAGCGACGACTCTGAGGACTTCAGCGTCCTAACGCCGGGCCACTTCCTGGTAGGAGCCCCTCTCAACGCCATCCCTGAGCCGTCACTGCTGGAAACATCGCCGAACCGTCTGGGCCGCTGGCGCCTGCTCCAGCGGATGCGCGACCACCTGTGGCAACGCTGGGCCAGAGAGTATGTGCAGGGACTCTCCCCCAGACCGAAGTGGTGGACCACCCGCGGAGCTATCCAGGAGGGCCAGCTGTGCCTCATAAAGGGCGAAACCACTCCGCCGTGCCGCTGGCCGCTCGCCCGAGTTACGCGTCTACATCCGGGGGCCGACGGCCAGGTGCGCGTCGTGGACGTCCGAACGGCCGCGGGCGAGCTGACACGGCCAGTGGTGAAAATCGTGCCACTGCCGCCGTCCGCCGTCGCGGATCCGGGCCCATCGGCGTGAGACGCGTGGTCCGCACCACCGCGCCGCACATCGGCCCGCGCGTCTCTCCTCTGTAAATAGTCTGTATATAGTGTCCGTCATCATGCGAATCACATTCTGTTGCTCATGCACTCACCATCCTCGCGTCGTTCCCGGTGCTATCGCTCCTCTCGTCGCGTCGCCCACGGGCATCCTAACGGGGGCTCCCTCGACCTGTCAAACGCCCGACAGCATGGTGCGTGACACGCTATCCACACTCACTAGCAGAACACTCGACTCGCGGTAATTGTCATTGCGAAGAATTCGTCGCTCGCATCACGACGAGGCGGGCGGGATGTTGAGAAAGGGAGTGAGAGAGAGAGAGCGAAATAAGGCGCAGGGAGAATCAGGCGCAAGCCGGCTGCCTCGCGATTCACAATTCGCGCGGCGACTCGCGTCACGCAGCCGGGCGCCGGTCTCCTATCAGCGCTCTCTCCCTGCCCAGCGACCGGGAGAGAGCCCGGCGCGCTCAGAGCCGCGCTCCTTCGATGTAACGATGCACCCCCGAAAATGCATCATTCCCGGCAAGAGCCGGATGCCGCCAACCACCGGGCGAAGGGTGAGCGCGCGGGGCGCTCACCACCTAAGCACGTCACACGACGCGCTCGCGGGCGAACCGATCGCCCGCGGGACCAGCCGAGCACGCCTGAGCCGGCGAGACACGCGTGTCGCGCTGTCTCCCGGCCGCGCAAGCGCGCAAACACGCTACCCCGACCCGTCTACCCCTACCAGCCGAGATTGTTAAAAATGTAATAACAATTGGGGGTAGACGGGTATAAAAGACGGTCCCAGAGCCGAAAAAGGCAGATTCCGCGACCGCCTAGTCCCGATCACGACAAAGCCCGCTCCGAATCCTAGCCGCGAAAGCCTGCTCTAGAAGCGCCGATCCGAGGTGAGGAGTAACTCGCCTCCGCCGAGAGTTCTCGGCTCAGCTCTTGCTACCGCAGTCTTTGCAATCCTTCACCCGATCCCGGTGGATACAGCGAGGCGAGGTGTTACTCGCCAACAGCGGGTTTTACCGCTGTCCACCGAGCATCGGCTCCAGAACGCCCCGGCGTGCCCGGACTAAAAGGGAGGTGAGGAGTGACTCGCCCCCGCCGGTTGTTACCGGCATCCGGCTCGACCGCACCGAAAATCTCCGTACTACCACCCACGGGATCTCACCGCGACGGGGGGGGGGGGGAACTTCGATACGCCGATCCACCGCGCCGGGCCCTTTAAACCAACCGGATTCACGTCGCCGGGCGTCGAACCACGGCGCTTTAAATCGCCACGCGGCGCTTTAAACCGCTTCACGGCCATCCCGTACCGCGCCCGTGCCGCGCGCCGCTGCCGTCGCCCGCGGGCCGTGAAGCCGCGTAAACGGTACCGTGTAAATACCGTCTATTATAAATATTTCAAAGATGTGTTTTAGATGTCTTTTAGACATCTTTTAGATATCTTCTAGAAATATCTTGAAGATATATTTTTAGAAATCTTTTAGACTTGTTTTAGACATCTTCTAGAGATATCTTGAAGATATATTTTTAGAAATTTTTTAGACATCTTTTAGACATCTTCAGTAAGATATCTTTCAGATGTCTACAAGACCTTAATGTTATATGGGTTTATTATATTAATTATTAATATTTCCAATTTTATATATACAGGATGTCTACAAACATTAGTGTGTTAATAAGGTTTAGTAGATGAAAGATTAGTTCATATAAACTTATTCGAAAATATTTTTTTATTAAAAAATTATAAACATTCAAAGCACCAAATACATTATATTGAAAATTTTCTTGGTGCTATATTTGAATGTAATAACGATTATAATAATAAAGCATTTATTGAAAAATGATGCTATACAGGGTGATTCAAAATAGGTATAGTGTCCCTGAAATGTCGTATTCCTGATTAAATTCTAAGACGATTTTTCTCTTACCAAAATGTTTTCCGAAGCTTAGTTTTTGAATTATTCAAAGAAATAGTCAGCGAATAACTGGCCGAGTACAAGAGGCAGACAGGAGCGGCGCACCGCCGCGGCGCCCGGCGGCTCACGCGGGGCGGTCAGCTGAGCGATCAGCTGCAGCGTTGCACACGCACATCTCTCTCTC